TGACTGTGTATTAAGAGATATAAATTGAATCAGTATGTCAGTGTCACATTTCAATACCTTCACCAGAGTTCTCTGTATTCTGTATTTTCCTACAGACAAATATGGGAACAATGAATAATTTCAGTTGTGACAAAAGGAAACAGAACAAAATCAGGCACATTGTACTGAAACTTGAAGCTCATCTTTGGTGCTGATGGAAGTTAATTCCACAGTGAGCGATTTCATGAGACCCTTTTGGATGAATAATACAAGTTTTGAGGTGTTGCATAAGCAATGCAATAAACAATGCAGCACAACAATTTAAGAATGAAGAGAGTAAGACACTAAATGAACTCGTTGACAGTCTTTATATGTTAAAAAAAGAACAGCTAATAGGATTTAAAGGTAGAAACTAAGCCAGCAAGTCTAAGATATTCAGGTCTATTTCCCAGACTTGAAGTTCACAGACAAATATATATATGTTTAAAGGTTTCATGTCCAACCACCTGCACAGGTTAAGAGTGCAGGATTTTGTATGTTAAATTTGAATGGAGCCTGCTTGTTTCAGGTGAATAGCAGCTTTCATAATTTGGTAGGTGATGCTGTGATGAAGTTCAGCTGGCAGACATGCCTAGAAGTCTTTATCTCCTTCCCTTCTATAGTATAAACATGTAAAAAAAGCATAAACTCATCACCTAGTGTGTGTCTGTGTGTCCTTATCTGTTGCGTTTAGTTTGTGTTGGATCTTTACAAGATCCCTTCCAAAGCTGAGTCTTATATATTGCATTTGGAGCAGGTACACTCTGGCCCTGGATCTTTAAGCAGACCATTTGTATGTATGCCACAATACTGGCACTCAAATGGTGCATAAAAATTGTCAGGCCTTGTTGATTTTATAGTAGTGAATTCATGTGTCCATAAATTGCAGAATATTCCGGGTAACCAGCAACCTTCCCTGGATCCACTATTATATGATGAGGCTAAATGACTTTGTGAGAACTGCAGTACAAGAGTGCCTCGGGCAGGCGCTGATCCTCAGACTGCATATCACTCATGTACAGTAGCTTATGCTCTTGTTGAGAAAGTAGATTTAATTTAACCTAAGCTACAGTTCAGGTTAGCTTAGTATAGCTTAGTATTCTAAATTGGTGTGACCACTTTAAGTTGTTACAAATTTGCTACATTGTCTGTTTTACTTTAGCAGACAGTCGGGGGTTGTCTGCTCCTGCCACCAACTCTGTAAGGAAACACAGTTCCAGGTGAGTAAAAGCTGTGGAGCTGTGTTTCTGACCACCAGATGAATTTACGTCTATTAGTAAACGTGTTTCCTCCATAATGTTCTTTAGCTATGTTTGCTATTATCTTACTGGAAGTGGTGGCGCTGGTTCCTGTCCACGAAAAGAGTAAGTGACTTGTCACACACTCTTCCGATTCTTTTAGAGGGTTGCCAATCAATATATGCCAGTCAGTGGTTTTCTTTACTCCCATTGGTTGTGGCTTCAATTGCAGCTCCTAGCTGAAGGTAGTTTGACTCAGTACCTGTTTAGTTTGTGTCGCGAACGATTGTGTAACCTGTTTTTGCTACAAGTCACTGAGTCACTGTGGCTACATTCACACGTACACGGGTATTTTTGAAAACTGAGATTTTCCCTTTTCAATCAGAAGTCTAGGAGCCTAGGAGGGAAAGAGTAAACAGGGTTTTGTACCCTGACAAAACCTTAAGTACTTATGAAAAGTTGCCTAAGTGCCAGCTCACCTCCACCGCTGCCTCTTGTGCCCTGTCCAAAAATGCGGGGTCCTCGGTGATGAAAAAAGGATTATGAACAGGCTCACACCAGAGGACTCTTTTTTCATTCTTCTTTTTTTGTTTTAGTTTCTGGGTTTTCTTGGCTACGGGCGGAAAAGCTGGCCCGCGATGGCCTAGGATGCTCTGCAGCTTGTTGGAGTTTCCGTGCCTGTGCTCATCCGAGGCTTCTGCAGCTCCTTGAGCCCACTCTTCCCAGGGGAAACGAGGGCGCACCCTGTCGCCTGCTGGGACTGCTCCCCGATTTTGCCTCAACTTCCTGAACAGATTAACAGGCCAGACTGGAACTGTCCATCTTGGGGTTCCTATAATGTTCAGCTAAATGATATGCTGCAGCTATACAAAGATATGCAACATGGATACAACTAATCTCATTTCATCTGCAAATTAAGGAGTGTGGATTTGCATGCTTGTTAGACTTTGCACAGCAGGAATCTGAAACACCTCTGACACCTTCATACTTTAATACATAGAGCATATTTTTCCCTTTGATTGTTAGTTTTTAAGGATCTTTTTTCTTTTATGCTCAGCAGTTATGAAAAGGTGAGGTCAGCAGACCAGGCAACCTCTGATTATATATTTATGAGCCACACATCCTGCCGCTGGACCAGCAAACCAGTATGCCCCGCCTTCATATAACATTTTGATTTTGCTAATGTGCCTCTGTTATCTGACGCACACAGCATACTTTAACTCACTGTT